ACCTTTTCTGTCTGTCTGATTTCCCACCAGCCTTTGTCCTTTGCTTCAGGGTTTTTTCTGGCCTGACTCAGCTTTTGTGAAAAAAGTCTTCTTCAGAAGAGTCAGCACTTGATTCATCTGCAGACTCCTACCTGGATGGCCTGTACTGAGGGTCTGTGTTCTTATAAATCACCAGCTTCCTCTCATTTTTTTGGTCTTCATCATGCTTATGCTTTTTCCGTGCCTGTTCATCAAACCGTTACATGTAAAGAGAAGTTGCTGTGGGTTTGTGTACAGAGCTCAGCTGGGATGTGCCTGTTATGGCAAGGATGTTCCTTGTTAATGAAGAAAGATTTGAAGTTCTGACCTGCCTCTTCCTCACTACGTGCAGCATTTGTCAGACGGTGCGTCATCCCTGCTCACCTTGTAGGAAATAATGCTGCAACATTGTGGCAGCAATATGAGACCTTGTAGGAAAGGAGATTCTTTTCCTTTAAAAGTAAATCAAAATTGATTTCACTTACACTCCCACACACACATTCTCACAAGCACGAGCATGTGCATGGAGTCCATCCAGCATGCAAGCACTGAGACACATGTATTCAGTCAATCTTTCCAGGACTCTGTGAAATACAGAGGATGCCAGATGTTGAGTCCTCCTCATGTCTCCTAGGCTTTTTGTAGGTTAGCAAAATTGTGCTAGGTTTGCATGTTCTTTTTTGTCCTGGCTAGGACCTGACAGCAATCTGTCTTCCTGTTCTGTCACGTCTGTTACACATCATAATTTACTTACTGTCCTGTATCTCTCAAGCGGACGTCTGAGAAGCTGCAGGTAGATAGGCACTAGGAACTTGATAACCCACTAATCACTGTACCATCAATATCTGCTACCCTAATATGCTTTATCCTGCTATCTTTTACTGTGGTGCTTCCACACCAACCAGTCTGTCATGTCCTCAACAGCGTTGGTGACAACGACAGTTACTCTTGTGCACTGTGGGCCACTTTGCACCTTTGCTCCTGCCCCACAGATATAATCCTGTATGTCACAGTTGGGGTTGTTCTGAAGCTGAAC